CTAATTTCCTTTGATGAGATCACCCAGAGCTGTCTTTGCCTGTCCCAGATACTGAGTGGCTTAATCCTCTGCATCAGCTGAGACCATGGACACAGAGCTGCCACAGATGGGTTGGAAATGAGGGGCAGAGGTAATGGAGACCCTCAGAAACCTAACAGCAGAACTTAGGGAAAGAGCAAGTGACTGTTACCACATTTTGAAAATAATCTGCAAATGAGGGAAGACCTGAAGAATTCCAGAATTGTACAGAGAGCTGGTAAAGTTGTTAGGACAGTAAGCAGCAAATGCTTCCACAACTACTTGCTGGGGTTTTATTTTTTCAAGTATAAGTAAGCTTTTTTGTTAAATTAAAGGGAAAACTGATAACATGGGAAACACTGTTCTTCCATAACTAGGATGAAGGAGGGAATCAACACTCAGGCTTCCTTTCTTTATCTGAAAAAAGATTTAGTAGGAAAAAAAAAAAAAGACAGGAAAGGCAGGAGGACATCCAAGGATTTGGTATTCCAGTCAAGTTGTCCTTGAGCCATTTTTATGCTTATTCTCAAATCTGAAAAACTTCAAAAACCACTTAAGATTTGCTGTTTCTTAGCTTTAACTGAAAGAAAAATTGGTTGAGAGCATTACATCAACTGGACACTGGGACTTAAAAATAAAATAAAAAAAATCCACAAACTGAAACAGAAGAAAGTGAACCACGAATTAAAGGTTTTCATTAATTTACCATTTATAATGCCTTTGTCATATGTTTCCTTTCTCTTGATCCTCACATTTTATCCCTTCAAATGAAGCATCCATGTTTTTACCTCAGATTTGCACAGATATGAAAAAGATAATTGTAGTTTCTTCTGAATTCTTGGGCAGATTTACCTTCCTTGTGTTTTTATAACCCTTTATCATAACCAATGATCAAACAGTTAATAGAGAATATTTATATTTCTATTTCTTTATCCCATATTTTCTACATTTTATAATCCTACTCTGTGTGATTTGGAGGAGGATCCCTGAACTTCATCTTTCCTATGGCTCAAATGAAATGCTCAAAGAAAGCAATAAGAAATGTCATGTTAAACAATTGTATCATATGCCTGAAAAAACTTCTCTCATCACCATTTTAATGTATCATATTTAATAGAAAACCCAGTTTTGATGAATCTTTATTTTCTAAGGGGGAAAGGGAATAAGTGAAATAAGCTACTGAGACTTCACAGTTTGTGGTATGAAGAATATTTTTTCTTTTAATGTGATTAATTTCTAGAACATCATTTGGTAGGCAGATATTTTGGATATACGTGGGATAGAAAAATGCATACTCTTCTTATTGATGTTTTCAATCCCATGAACTTTTTCTCCCCTTTTTCTTATGTCTAAATTTGGATCAATTTAAGGAAAAACTCATAAGATAGGAGACCTGTCTTGTTGCAAACCAGTACAAGTGTCCTTGAATTGTGAATTTTTGCTGACTTTATTTTTAGACTGCTTTCCTCAGCTTTGAATAACTTCTGGTCTAAACCTCAACATAAATGGTTGGGAAAAGGGTTTTCCACCAGGAAGGGGAAGGTGCAGGGGGAAGGCTTTAGCATCTGCCACTGTTTTGGGTGCTGTACATGAACTGCTCTTATAAAGAACATCTTTAAATGTCTGTTGGGAGTGAAACATCTCCCAGGGCTGTCACTGGAGAAGAGGGAAGAAGGAAAAGCTGCATGTTTTGGGGTGGGGATAAAATCCACCTTTACCAGTGGTATATGGGGAAAGCCTGCTGCTCTTTGTTGTGCTGTGCCTTTGGAACAGCACAAATTCTGTTGTTCCACTCCTCTGTTCATCCTGGGGACGTGCTGGTGACTGAACCTTTCCTAGAGTGCTGGCAGGCCTCTGACAACATCCCTGCTGGCAGAGCATTCTGTGCAGTTTCCTTGGAAACACGGCTCTGGAATGCCCTGCGAGGAGCAGCAGGGAGGAGAGAAGGAATGGAGACGGCTGCTTTGGGATTTTTCCCCCTCCTATTTCTTTACCCTTCCAAAGCCATATCAAATATGTAAGCAACCTACTCCAAACTGGAGTGTCAGGGTGGGAATCAGGCTGGCTGCTGGAACAGGCCCACAATTGTTACGTGGGCTGAAACGGCACGAGTGGCCTAATCTGTGTGGTTTGGAGCCCAAAATTCATTTCTTGCTTTTCATGGCAGTGATCTTTCAGCTTTTGATAATGTCTGCAAGATCTGTTGAAGTCCTGTGGTCACTTATGAGACTGCGACAGAGAATCTACAGGAAGCCCTACATTTATTTGGAGGAAAACCCTCACCACTCCTGAGGTGTAGAAAGGAGGAAATGTTTTCCACTTACACTTTCTCAGTACTCACCCCTCTTTGAACCCTGTAAATTACATTCTGGAAGGGCAGGGTTTGAGCCTGCTGCTCACTGATGTCTGTAACAATAAATGATTCTAATAAAGAAACAGCTGGGGCTTTATTATTTGGATTGCCACTGTTGCCCGGGCACACAGCTAATTTCTGCTGCAGCTCCACTGGCTTCAGTGGAAAATGGACCAAGAAAAAATTGTTGTGCTCTTATGGTATTTACTCTGGTAAAATATGGGCTTCTCGAGAGATCTAGAAACTTGAAGTAATATCCCAATGTTTCTGTCTTCTGTCAATGTAAAGGAAACTGGACCACTTTTGCAAACCGTAGTGTTTTGTTCTACCTCTTAAAAAAACGTTTTGAACTGATCCAACTTGATGTAGTGACTTTTCATCTGTGGTGACAAATGTTCCTCTCAGTAAGAATGCAGTATTATTAAAATAATTGTATTTTTAAAAATAAAACTGCTAAATAATGTTTTTCTAGACCTTCTTGCCCATATGTTCTTGCTGGTCTTTCTAATCTACCTGCAACCAAGTTTAAGAAATCGTCCAAAAATTCTGTTGTAAAATCTTAAATGATTATGGGGTTGGTAGTCTTAGATAGTCCTAACTTGCTGCAAAGCATTTTGATAAAGACTGCTGGTCTAAAGAAAACCTGGGACATAAGAATGGGTACAAATCCAGGGAAGCCTAGAGCTAACCCCTTTGTGCTAATACACTTATAACAGTGTTACTATGTTATATTTGTCTTGAATTCAGAACAGTATTTGTTAGACATTTGCCTATGGCTTCTTTGTGTTCTTTTGTCAAGTCAGAGAATGGAATCCCTTTCTTTTTTCAGTGCCCAGTTCATTCTGATGGCAGATTCCTGGTGCTCCTCCCCTGCTCCTGGGTGTGTGCACTTACGCTGTGTAATAGGGCAGCCTGGAATCTGAGTCGGAGGTGAGGGAAAGAGGGTAATTAGAGAACTTAACACAGCAGCCTGGGAAACTGCCACTTAGCCTCGAGTTCAGCGCCTTGCAAGGCTTCTGTTTATCCAAATAATCCCTGACTGTGCTCTGAGGAGAAGGGGGAAGCAGAGGGGTGGCAGACCCGGGGAGCAGATCCAAGCTGCAGCTGAAGAGTGCTGGCTCTGCAATCCTGAGGAGCTGAACAAAGCTCTCTGTCTTGCTGTGCCTTCCCATCCCTCCCACCCACTTTGTATTCCTTATAGCACTGAAATATCATGCTATAGAAAACAGATTCTGCAGGGGAAACATCTGGCTCCTTAAAGCTCAAGCAGTTGCTCTAAAATTTCAAAATATTCTTCATCATAATTTATTTCTTGTAACCATTTCTGAGGGACTTCCGAGAAAGGGAAGAGGCCAAGGGAAACTCAAAGTAGATTCCACGTTTATGATTTTCTGTGTTTCTTCTGTTTATGTCTCTTGGTATGAATCTGATTTTTGGAATGGATGAAGAAAGAATGGGGAACAGGCTGCAATTTGTGCAGAAGGAGCAGGAATTTTGGGTAAAGGAAATTTTAGGCAGAAAATACAGGTTGTAGGTGACTGACAAAGGGACAAAATAAACTAAATTATCAAGTAGAGTTCATATTATAATAGGAATTTTCTTCTTCTCTGGCCCTCCTGTAGGATGGAGGCTGGCTGGTCTCGACAAAATGTATGTAAATGTAAATATTTCTGGTTTTCCCTAGTACAGCTTTTCTTGGACCTTGCCAACTGGCTCTGAAGAAATAACTTTCTTACTCTTTTAGCCGGCTGCAACCTGCATGTACATTTCCAGCTGGAATTTCTCTGTGTTATGGATGTATTTGTATTTATGCCTCCAGCTGGGGGCATGATCCAATTACATGTCAGCTGCACTGATTAAAATAAGGAAATATGCATTTTTCCCACCCTTCTTCCCAAAGTCTGCCTCACAGGATTTCTCTGCTCCTTGGCTATGTTCAAAGCCCTTCCATCCTGCTCTGATGTTCTTTTTCTCTCTGCAGGCTTGCCCTTGGTCATTTGACACCAATATCTCAGTCATTTGTACCATCCTTAAAAGCTGTGCCACAGAGATGCTGTGCTTTGAGGGCTCAGTCTGGCTTGGAGAATTAATAAAATCTATGGGGATTGTGTCAGGCTGTCCTTCCATGGAGAGTCCCTCAGCTGTGCAGATGAGACTTTCATTGTTGTAATCTAAACCAGAAACTTTTCCATCTGATTTTTGATGTCTCTTAGCCAAACCGAAGGTGATGTCATTGGAGGACCAACCTGAACTTAGGCAAAAAAATATTGATTTGTATATTCTACCTATGTTCCCAACATTTCTGATATCTGTTGCAGATTTTTATTATTTATTTCTTTCTTTTTTTTTGCCTCTTAGCTATAAAAGTACCAAATATTGGACACAGAAGTTTTTGTCACTGAGCATGTGACTGGAGCTTTAAAACTTGTGAATGATGTGATTCATGATCTCAAGAAGTTCTCCTTAGTCACTTGATGTGTCTGATATGATTAAAGAATATCTCCAAAGCCAACATTTTTTTCTGAAATGCCTTGAAACTACTTTCATTCACTGCAAGAGAATGTGACAAACACTCCAGCACTTGATTAAGAAATACGGAAGTATTGAAAAACCTTTTTTCTCTGTGCAGAAACACGAACAGATAGAACAAAGAAGCTGTTCAGACACTACACGGTTGGATCCTATGACAGCTTTGATGCTTCAAGGTAAGAATTTTTCCTTTTGGTTGCAATCTGTTTACAAAACCTTCCTGGGTTTTATTTAATTGGTACTTTTGATTTTGGCTTTGGAGGGGAAGAGGGAAGCAGACCACTAAACAAAACTTCTGAGGGTACCACTTAAATTCTACTTTGGTTTTTATTGCAGTTCACTTTGTTTGTATGGGATGGGTGTAGAAAATTCAGGAGCAGTGACGTCACAAGTTTCACTGTCTTGTTTTGGGAGTGGTGAAAGAGATTTGTTGTTTTGAACAGTAACTTTGGAACCTGAGTAGAATTGAAGCTGCTGGAAATGTGAAATTAGGTTATTTATTTGTGGAGAATTAATGATTTTTAAGCAGATTCTTCTCCCCCATGGATATATGTTGAACATACAGCTGATTGCTGGTAGAAGGGATGACCTTTAAAACACAGAACCTAGTTATGTTTTTGTGTCTTCTTGAGGAAATTTTAGTGGCGTACTGGAATTAGTATGCTTCTCTTCTGAACGTCCAACTATAGCTTGGGTTGGTTTATATTTGTTTTTGTTTTTGCTTTTTGTTTGTTTGTTTTTTGTTGTTGTAGTTTTCAAGGAAACCACATTTATTATAGGAGAAAAACTATGAAATGTGTGACGTAGTGGCAGCATGTCATGTAGCTCAATATTAAAATTTTTAAAAAAGAAAAATGTGGTAACTGTTGGTTCTGTTCTGGAATCTTAGACTTTGTTCCCAGGTTCAGGCATAGTTTCTATGTGAGTTGAACAATTTGGGGAGGGAGTTCCCAGCTGGACGTGATGTGATTGACTGGGGGAGTCTGATGATGGTAAAGTTGTCAAGAGAAGCTGTGAGCCCATACTCTGAGACAGCCTCTGCAGAGCAAACTCACTGGTTAATGGGGATGTTTGCAGTGAGAAGAGTTGGCTTTTTGCAAGGTTCTTTGAGTGATCATTAGTCTACAAAATCCATATGCTTGTCCCTCTATTTCAGTGAGAATGGATAGGATTGTTTCTACAAAAGAGAGAAGCTGTGTCTTCTGCATGTAGCCTCAGAGATACCAAATAATTCCACATGGAAACTTCCTGCTACTTTCTAACAGCAAGATTTTTTCACAGAAAATGTCAATTCCATCAGAATCTTCATTTCCACACATCTTTTTTTTTTTTTTTAAGGTTGGTTTTGTTGTTTTTGTTTTTTATTTTGTTGGTTTATTTCTCTGTTGTTTTGAGTTTTTTTCCTAAAGGTATTGGGTTTGTGCAGTGCAACAGTAAAGCTCTCAAAAAATGTGCCTTACCTGATTCAGGACTGAGCAGGAGAGATAATCAGGAAAAAAAATGAGCTTTTGTACAGCCTTATATAAATTAGTTATGAAGTGTGTCTGCAGTTCATATCTATTAATTGTCTGAGTAGAGAGAGGGAAAGCAACAGAGCTCTCCTGGCAAGGTTTGGAAGAAAACTCTCTTTGAGTTTCAGAGAATCTGAGACCCAGTGGATCCATTTGGAAGGGTAATAGTGGAAATTGAGAGGAAAAGGTAGGAAGAGGCAGAATTAATCTGAAATTCCAAGAAATACAAGAAATACAGTGGAAAGGTAGACTTGCTTAACACATTTTTTCAGTAAAGTATGGTAAATCTAGAATTTTTGTAAAGTAACCCCAGGAAAACTAAAAAACCAATAACACATCAAGTTGTGTTTCAGGTTAGAAGACTGAGGCTGCAAATCAGCCTTTTGTACCTCTGAATGGTGATCTCACTGATGCTTGCATATTGCTGCTAAAGCAAAAATAATTTGCATTTCAGAACCTGTCTGGGGATTAATGCCTCTTGGTGGTACATCCAGATTGAATGCCTCACAAGGACTTCTTCAGGGAGGGGAATTAGTCAAAGAGGCAAACAAGGTGTGAAAGTGAGAACAATTTTTGATATTGCCAGATTTGTATTGATTTGATTACTTTCTCTGTTATAATTTTGTATCAAAGTTGGGGAAGAATACATTAGAACTGATTTAACACTGGCAGCAAAGGTTTCATAAACATTTGTCAGAAGGCAATTGTGCCTCTGTGCTAAGAACAGCTCTGAATCCAAAGTATTAACAAAGCTGATCCAGTTCCTTTCTGGAGATGATGTGGGGGAGTGAGGGGAAGTGTCTGCTCCCTTCTCTCTTTTCTTCTCCCTCCCAAAGGGCAAAAATTGCTGAGTAGAAACACTCTGTTCAGAAATCTATATTAATGGGCTTATTCACATGCAGGAAAATACATTGTACATGGCATTTTTCATCTTGAGGAAAATGTGCAGCTTGAGTAATGAAGGTTCATTAAATCCTATTTCAGCTTTGCATAAAAGATCAGTTTTCCATACATTAACTTTGGGAAAATGGGGAGGATGCTTACTAATGTGGAGAAGGGCACTGAGACTTGCTTGCCTGTGCAAATAGTCACTAAATATCATACAAATACAATATAATATTTGAAACTACCAGGTCTGATGTATTATCTGCTTCAAATGCTGATGCCTTCAACAGGGAACAATTTCTTCTTAATTTCTAACTTCTTTCAGTTTAAATCCCCACTCCTTGTCCTAGAAAGCAGGTACACCACTAAAACTGAAGGAAGATAATGCAAGACTGCTCTGCCACATCTCTGAATTTTCTGTCTTCCCTGGATTTGTCATCAGTTAATGCAAATGAAATTATTTGTAAGGCATTAATGAGTTAATTCATCAAGGTTGTTAACAGAAAGCATTGCTAAGGCGTAAAATGGATGTTGGAATTTAAAAAAAAAAAAAAAAATTTAAATACTTAAAGCTAAGGTAAACCTTTAGAAATTATCATTTTTTATTTTCTTTTTAACTGAAGTGAGGGAATTGATTAATTCTTTCAAGATGGCACAGTGGATTGTACAGTGAGGAAAATATGTGGAATTAATTAGTTATTTAATTTGAAATGTAAAATGTTATCACCCTTTTAAATGGAATGGGACTGATAATGCAGTGAAAACTTAGTTTTACACTCTGGAGACATAAATAATATGAGACAGTGTGGTGCTATGTAAAAATGATAAACCTGGTATGGTGGAAAACATGATCCATTGCCTCCATGAATTTGGGAACTTTAGGACACGACAGTGGAAACTTTTCCTACTGCATTCCTTGCATCATCTCCCACCCCCAGCAGAACAGGGCAGTAGCAAAAGTCAATAGCACAACTAAATGCCAACCTCAGTGCCATCAAATGTGCACATAAATGGGAGGTCTCTTGCTTATTTTGTGACTTTCTTCACAGAATTATTGACTTTCACATGGGGGCTCTTCTCCAGAACTGGTTCCAATGCTTGCATGGGAGAAGTTTTCCTGGTGCCTTTCCTTGACATCCCATGACTCCAGCAGTATTAAGGAGCTTGCAGGAGAGGATGTGATGACAAATAACCTTTTCCATGGGCTGGTTGCCACCACATTAATGGCAGGACCAAATGGATTTGCCTTATGGTTTTTGTTCTGTTTTTCTGGAGTAAGACAAAGGAAAATAGGATGGTGTAATCCGTAAGAAAACTTAATTAAAAGCTTAATTCATTAACCTATTGCTCCTACTTGGAGTCATGCGTCATCATCCCTGTCCCACAAGTGTAGAAGCTGACAGGAGCAGCTCTTCAAAAGCCAGTTTACATACAAACACCTAATAAAAAACGGAGAGATTCTCTCCAGGCTGTTCTCTGTTGCTGTTGTCATCTATGCTGTTGGATAGAGCAGCATGAGCTTTAATCCTGAGCAGCTCAGAGAGACTCCTTGGCACAGCTGAAGCTGTCTGCCCCTGTAACTCAGCATGTTATGGAGAGCTTGGTTATATTTTTAATTCTTTTAGCCCACAGAATATGCCTTGGATATATTGGATATATTGGATACCTTTGTCCCAAAGTTCTGATAGAAGCGGTGCTGTCTTGGTAGTTTAAGTATTATGTGTTATGCACATTTTTTTAGTGGAAGCTCTCAGTCTGATGCAAAATACTTTCTTGAGATCTGGTTTCATGTGGATATTTCACATAAATAATTATCCCTCTGGAGAAATGCAGTTGCTCATCTCTTTAAATATAGATTTTAAAATAATAAAATATAGATTTAAAACAGATGGAAAGTTTTAGTGGACCTCTGGCCATTGCAAGTGGTGAGGAATGTAAAACTGACAGGGAGCAAAGGGATTTTCTCCTGGTAAGGTGACTCTGTGTCCCTGGGGTGGGGAATTTGTCATATGTGCCTGCTGAGTGCTGCTTGCCTGGCAGCAATCCACTAAATCCTGGCACATGGATCCTTGCAAAAGTTAAGGGAAGGTATAAGAGTTGTTGTTATATTTTATATCCTGCTTCCCACATTTTCATTTTGGTTCTGCCTGGGCAGAACAGTGAGAGAATTGTTGTTACACAGAGAATAAATTGGATTTTCTGAGTTGGGGTAAGAATTAGGTGATATGGGATTGGAACTGAATGATCTTTAAGGTTCCTTTTAACCCAAATCATTCTAGGATTCTGTGAACTGCTCTTTTGTTTGTTTGTTTTCTCTTGGCTATCACCAGTTCCACAGTACTTACATTTCCTGGGAAGTCTGTACTGTTCAGGTGCTCTCTTGAAGGAAATGGGAGATTAAAATGGTGCTGTTCACTCTTAACAATAAATCCACAATCTGGGATTGACACATTGATAATAAGTGGAAAGTGATTTTACAGCTCTTCTTACCTGCAGGCATATATTTTAAACATAATCCTAGGTTTCCTCTGTTGGAAACAAGTAAAACCAATGGCATTTTAACTTTTTTACCTATACACATAGCTCAGTTTCTGCCTAGAAGATGGTTACAAAAATATCTGAGTATGCTTATCATTGTAATTAAATATAATGTGAGACAGTGATGTGGATACATCTGAAAGCTCTCTGAGATTTTAATGATTTTAAATCTCCGCAGATGTGATATCATGGTTCTTTTGGGCACAGAGAACACTCAGCACCAGCCACATTGTAGGGAAAAA